ATGTTAATGTAAATTCATTGGTACCACCAGCTGTATAGATGGTAGGGTACATCTGCTTTGCTATAGATGAACTACAAGGCAGTCCAGGGAACAGAAACAGAGCCACCCAGAGGCAGAAGCTTGTGAGTGGATCTGAAAAAACTGAAGGAGCCTGGTCTTGAGAAGTTCGCACCACTCTAAAGGGGCCAAGCTAAATGCTGGCATCTGATCAGTGATGGGAAAGCTCCAGTAGACAAGAGGAAAGAGATGAACTTGAAGCTGAGATAGAAACAGGCAAAAGGTGGGAGTGCTGGCGGCTGACGACCAACCTCAAGAGGAAAATGATGAAGGAAACTTCACTCACTGAGCACCTACCTTACATGGATGGGCACTGTGGTAGATGCTTTCTTTGTTTTATTAGTTATGCAGGTATTATCTCCATTTGATAGTGGAGGAAACAGGCCCAGAGAAGGTGACTTTACTTATTCATCAAATATATGTACTTGTAATATAAAGATGATAAAGACACAGTCTTCTTCCTTAAGGATCTTAGATTATTTTAGGTGAGAGATATAGAGGCAAATCATTTTATTACACAGTAGTCCTTAGATAAGAGTAGATGTAAACACAAGGTACAATGAAACCACAAAGAGGTTCCCCAAGTCACAGGATCAGTAAGTGTCAGATCCAGGATTCAAATCCTGGACTGTTTGAATCTAAACTTCAGCACCTGCCACCACTCTGGCAGCATAGCTATAGTTGTCAGGACCCTTAGTTATAGTCTGAGTTCTGAGGAAGGGCGGTAGCCCTTGCTACTGGCAGGGAATATTCAAGAGCAAGGAGAAGACACTGGGAATTGGTATGCAGCATGTACAGGTGACCCAGTGGCACTTCAGGCCCAGAAGAGGAGATGATGGTGTCCTCATGGTTACCAGGTTATAGAGACCCTCCCTGGGATAGGACTGATTCTGGAGCCTAGAGGTGGCAGTGAGTGGTTCTAGCTGTGGGAGCGATTGGAGGCAGGAAACCAGGTTGGTTCTTAGAGAGGCAGATTGGGACCAAAGAATGGAGGGTCTGAAAAATCAAGTTGGGTTGGAGAGGAGAGGCCATATTGGGAGTGGCAGTGAGGATATGACAATGAAATCAGACAATTCTTGGGTAGGAAGGAGAACTTGCCCATTCTCTAGGATCATTATCTCGCTTTTGCTTCTGTTGCATTCAATGGATCCTGACAGGATTGTCTGCCTTTTTGGAACTAACTCTTTTGCTTAAAAAGCATCTCCCTTCTTAGAAGTAGATCTGAAGAGGCCTGGGGCCCCAACCTTTCCTACGTATGCTTTCCTCTGACTAGTAATTGGACAGCCCAAGCCAACCTTCCACAGTTGGGAAAGGGCTGTGAGCCACACCTCTGGGGCATGTGAATGACAACTCTCTCTGGAACACTGGGCAAGGCAGGGTGAAGTCAGAGGATCAGAGTTGGGGAGGGCAGGACTACAGAGGGGACAGGGAAGGCAGAGAGTGAAGCAGCTTGGGGAAGAAAGCCTCCCTGGGCAGGTGGCTCCATTTGATTTCTGATTTAAAGGGGGAGGCTTAGATAGCCAAGAAGAAAAAGGCTAATAAGAAAAATATTAAACTGCAGTGTGTGTTTCCCCAGGGACTTCCTGTTGCCATGACTGACCTCCTAGAGAGTGCCATTCGTTCCCGAGCATGGCAGCTTTATAGGCACTTGTAGGCCTGCAAAGAACACCAATTTGCTGCTGCAGTTTGTTTTGATAACTGAAACTTTCAATAAATCTATATTAAAATCAAAGGGAAAATTAACTAGGCCCCAGTGAGGGGCAGGGAGATAAGGGAGCACATTACCACCCTGGCCTCAGCCACCCCACATCCGTCTCTTAGTTCAGATTCAGGTCACCAGGGAGATGAATGGCTCAGGCTCATGGGGAACTGCCCTGGGGAGAGCAAGGCGAAGAAGGCATGGCCAGATTCAGCCCTCACTGCTCCTGGAGCATAGAAATCTGTGGGAGTAGGATAGGGGGTGAGGAGGTGGGGTGATGGTGGTCATGGTCGGAAGAGGAGTTGGGGAGGGATGGGAGAACAGCAAAAATAATAAGTGATAGCCAATATTTACTGAACTCCAGATACTGTGCTAAGCACGTCTGTATTTAATTCTAATTACAAGCAGGTACTAGCATTATCTCCACTCTATAGATGAAGAAACGGAGCCTCAGAGAGGCATGGGACTCTCCTAAGGTTGCAGACTGAGCCAGGACTCAAACCTGAAGAGGCTCTCTTTGAGCTCGCACTCCTCGTACCTGCACTATGCTGTCATATGTAGCTTACAGGGACTGTGAATAGCAGGAGCAGTTTTTCCAGTTCTCAGATAAAAATGTTTCAGACCCAGTTTGGGTTCTCTCAGCTGTGCCAAGTTTGGGGGCTGCCATGTACTGTCCTTGGGTCCTGGGTTCTCTACCTTTTGATTGCTGGTTAAGGTTCCAGCTTTGATGACCATCTTGCTGCTTTTCCTGGTGGTTTGACAGGGCAGTAGAAGAACCAACTTGGTCCTCTTTTGGTCTCTGTTCTCAGTGTTCACTTTAGCTCAGTCACTTAAACCAGCAGCCAGGAGGCTTTCCAGGATATATCTATGCCTGGGTGCTGAATTCAGTTCATCTGCCTCCAAAAATTCACTTACCCTGTCTTCACCCCTTACCTTGGGTCTTGGACACTTGTTTTTGGGACAGCCCAGTTGCCACTACTATCACTCATTTACTAACACATCTGGTTGTCTTAGCCTCCTCTGGGAGGAGGATTAGGTTTTGAAAGAGCCTCCAATGTACTCACTGTGGTGGAACTGCAATGAAGCTAATTTGACCAGAGGCTACGTATGACTCCTCTCACCATTTCTAGTCTCAGATGACCACTGTGCATTAGGGTGTGGGATTTGGTGCTCCCTGTGACTCCCCGAGTGGTGGGATAACACAACCCTCTCCCTGTTTGAGAAGTGATGGTTCTAAATGGCCTGTATGACAAAGCAACTAGCTGTGTTTTCTTTGAAGCTCTGGTCAACTTTATACTACCTTATGTTTTCTTTCCTTCCTTCCCTGCCTCACTTCCCTTTTCCCCTTCACTCTTGCTGCCCTGGGATTATACTTCCTAATGAAGTCTTACCACATAAGCTTCACCTCAGGCTTTGCTTTCTAGAAAATCAGACAACAGAGGGAATCACAACAGAGTTAAAGGCTTGATGGAGCCAAATGCTGGGTTAGTGGTGATATAAGGCCCCAAGTGTAAAGAGAGCTTTTAACGTGTTCTATTACTTGAATGTATTTTGTCTGGTCTTTGTCTAAAAAGAGCTTACAGTCTGGTGAAGTCCTAGAAACCATACAGTTCAGCTCTAGAGCACCAAGGAGGAAAATGCAATTCCGAGGGAATCAAGGGGACCATGGGACGTTCGGTGGAGAATACTGGGGCTGGACCTTAAAGAAAGACTCCAATCCAGACAGTGTAGATTTACTTCATTTTTACAGCCAACAAGGTTGGCTGTGCCCTATTCTCAGGCCAGACTCAGGATATAATAAAGCCAGAGACAGGAGAGGCCATCTCGGGGCCTTTATTTGTTTACTTTTATTTACCTACTTACTTACTTGTTTATTTTCTATTCTTCCTCACCCTTCCCCTCCTCAATATAAAAGCTCTTTGAGGATACAGGTTTTGTGTGTCTTACTCAGCAACAAAAACAGTGCCTGAAACTTAGCAGAGGTACCATAAATATATGCTCACTGACTGATCAACTGGGATTAATATTTAGATGACATTAAAGAAAGAGAAAGACTCAATTCCAGCTCCAAGAATCAGGGGATATAGGCAGATGAGCCTCCACTTTACTGACCTTGGGTTAAGTGACATCTATCCCTGCTGATGTTTATTCATCTCATTTGTCCACAAACATTTATTGTGTGCCTGCTTTTGCCTGGCACTGTGTTGGGTATTAATGATACAGCATGAACATATGGAAACAATGCTTACCTTAAAGGCGTTGACAGCCCTGGAGGAGAGACAAAAAGGAAACAATTATAAAACAATGCAATAACTTCTGTAGGTGCAGAGCAGAATCACCTAATCCATTATGTGGGAACCATTATGTTAAGGTTAGATCTCACAGAAGTGGCACGGCCCAGATATGACATAATTTCTCTTAAGTGAAAATATGCACACAGCAGACAGAGGGCTTGGTGACTAAAGCTAGGCCCAGGAGGCAGCTCTTGACTGGGAGGCTGTCAAAGCCATCATTGGTGGCCGAGGCTGGGGTTTCCCAGCTCCAACCTGTACCCATCACTTCCCAGAGAACAAAACCTGGATGAAGAGATATATCTCTGGCTTGGCCAGAGTTCTCTCCAGCTGACGGAAGAGGCTGGAAGAAGCTGTCTGTGGAAGCACTCCACAGTTGAGGCCAGAATCCTTTTAACCCTTAAGTTCTCTCCGGAGCCGACCTGAACAAGTCATTTCCCTCATCCTTAGGAAGGCCCTTGGGAAACCTAAGAAAAAAATTTAAGCATTCTCTTCTTAGTCTGAAACACCCCTCCTCTCGGTTCTCTCCCCGCCCCTGACCCACGACAGAGAGTGGAAGGGAACTTGTTGAATGAACAAATCATGAGGTGTCATCTAAATATAACGTCGCCTTATGAGCCCACACTCACCGTACTGAATATATTCTGAGGTGGACCTTGGGTCGCTCTAGGCCTTGTAAAGTTTTTGTATTTAAAAAAAAAAATTCTTTCACAGTCGGAAGTCATCCCCCCTGCTCCCCCCGTCACTCTTCTGAGTACGTGCAACCTCAAAACTACAAATCCCACAAGGCCGGCCTCGGGGAATCACCATCTTGAGGTACCTCAGAGCGCATGTCGGCGCGAGGGCGAACTTTTGAGGAGAATAAGCTCCGCCTACCTTCATCCCATTGGTGGAAGGAGCCCGTGGCAGGCTCAGCGGTTGGCCACTGCCCCCGCCCGTCCGCCGCGTCGACTGGGGTCAGAGTGCGCGGAGGTGAGTCGGTGTGTTGTGGACTCGTGGTGCTGGCTGCTGCTTTGAGGCGGCCGGGAACGGGCGGTGGGGAGCGGGCGGAGCTGGCCCTGCCTCAGCCCGGCCGGCGCCTCAGTCGGCGCGGGCTGCGCCCGTCGCCGTAAACTGCCCTGAGCGCCTGCTGAGGCCGAGGGAGACGTCGGGGCCTGCACCTGGAGGGAGCCTGCCGCGCTGGCCCCAAGGAGCGGGCGTTGCCATGGCGACAGCCTCTCCTGCTGCTGACGGGGGGCGGGGGCGGCCCTGGGAAGGAGGACTGGTCTCCTGGCCCCCTGCCCCTCCCCTTACTCTCCCCTGGACTTGGATGGGCCCGAGTTGGGGGCAACACCCCGGGGTGGGTGACGCGGAGAGGCTACCCAGATTGGGCCCTGGTTGATGCATGCGGGGTGAGGGTCGCGGCGCGCACAGTTTGTGCAGCTTGGGTGCTGGCCCATGTGCTCACCCTGGATGCATGATCTACTGAGTAACGCTCAGGCGGAGAGGGAGTGGGGAGGGCTCTGCGAGACAGACTGGGTGAGATGACTACGGGTACTGACTTCTCACATGGGGTTACCAGGGAGGAGGGAGAGGTTTGACCAGAGAGAATTGAAACCCAGCAAAGAAATAGTAGATAGAACATCCTCTCCACCCTCCCCAACACACACAGACACACAAGGTTAGCAGTTTACCTCTTTGTAGGGCTGTAACAGTGGTAGTAGTGATGGTGGAAGGAGTAAATAAGGGCCCTAACTAGGCTAGTTTTCTGTTTTTCCTTCAAATGTTACAGCAACAGGTGCTTTCTTAAAACAAAAAAGCATGAGCTAGGATTGGGGCTTGACTTTGAGTTCTTAATATAACTGCTCCTGTTGACTTAGAATATGCTGAATGTGGCCCCTCATTGGGGGTTTGGATTCTTTCCTTAGGGCTGGATTTTGCAAACTGATGGTGTCTGTTATTGCCTCTGCTATAGGTGTCTGGCCACTTCTATGGCATTAGCTTTTTATCAGTCTCCCAGCGGAAGGGCAAAAAAATACCAATCCCATTGGCTAAAGACTCTGCACTGTTTGAACTATAGTACGTTGTGATTGGCTGAATGGTTTTTGATTGTAGAGTTTCTACCAGAAATTGGCTTCATCAAATTCTGCTTTATTCTGACTTTATCATACACAGCATGCCTTGTTCTAGTGGGTTCATGCCTGGAGCTTAAGTATATTACACCTGAATCCCCTACCATTTAAAAGCCAATTTATAAACAGGGACTTGGAGTGTGACTCCACTAATGTGTGTTTCTGTGATCTTGGTTAGAAACCCACTTGGCTGCCTTTCCTCAGAGAGGTGGGGGGTGGGGGAAGGGAGCAGCCAGGAAGTGATTGATAAGGTTTCCTTTATGGATTCTGTGGTGCTTCACTGGAGCTCAGAGCACTTTGGCAACTTAAGCACTCCAAATTAAAAGCTCATTAACAATTCCTGCCCAAAGATCCTGTAAATAATCGGCTAGCTAGGTCATAGAGCTTGGCTGAGAGCTCTCCTTCCAACTTAAAATTCGAAATAAAAGTGCTTTTATTCCCTTTCATCTTGAAAAGAGTTTTGTTTGTGGTGGGCTAAGTTAACGAGTGGCATTTTCTTAGGGAATCTGAGTAGAATAGTCTTAAATGTGATAGAGGGGTAGACAGGAATAGATTGATTCCAAACCTAGGTGTTTCTTTGTGCAAAGGACATTGCTGGCTTATAAGGGCACCTCTGCAACTTGTGGTCTTTGGAAGATCTGAATTAGGTGATAAATATAATAAGTGTCCATTGATGATTTGATTTGGGATTTGGTTACCTTGATTTTCTAAGAACTTGAGGCAGACTTGGAAGTATCCTGCAAGTGTTTCCTGGTTTATGTGGCCATTTGCAATATGACTTGTGGCTTTGTGGCAACCAATCCCTCCTCCAGTGTTGGCCTCAGTTCCTGAGTTCTGAATATTGTCATTCTTACTAGTGTCCTCTCCTTGACTAGACTAGGATTCTGAGATTATCCAGAGAGCCAACACTTCATGGCCCTCTTTTTCAGTCCAAGCTTAGATATTGTAAATGTTTAGTGTTTCTAGGAGGTAAGCCTCCTTAGGAAGAAAAATATTCTACTAGAGAACATAAAATTCATCATTCCAAAATATATAGTACCTAGTAGCTTCTGAAACTTCTGTACAGGCACTGTCCTTCCACATAGATGGCTGTTATCCCAAAGTAGTTTGAGTTTAGGAGTTTGAAATATACTCTTGGTACTTAAATTATTTTGAACAGCAGCCCCCTGAGGATTTGATCGTATGTATTGAAATAGACTTGTTGCAGAGATGTGTATTTATCCACAGCATTGGGGCTTTCCTGCTCTCACAGAACCTTCAGCATCCCCAGCTACCAGCCTTGGCATCTTCGAAGTAAGGAGAGGTGAGAATTCTGCTGCATGGTCAAGTTTCGCTTGACTTCTTTCTTAAAAGTATTTGTGCTCGGAGGGTGAGGGGTCAGGGTTGGTGAAGATTGTATTTGTCTGTAGCTTTTTCTGATAAGACACCATATGCTCAAAGACCACTGAAATTTACCCAAAGTCTTTAAGTGTGAGAGTTGGAGGTAGGGTATCCAGACTCTCAAGTTCTGTCATGATTTCTTTGTGGGCATTGCATGAACACCTACTTTAGGTTCAGAAAGGTTTAATAGAACTGGAATAGTTCTTTATCCTGAGAAATACCCATCTTTAGACAGTAGGAAGGAACACATTCATTAGACTTTTGATAATACCTTTGAACAAGGCCTTTGGGATCTTGGTTTAATTTGGGTTGCGAGTCACCTTTGGGTGGATGCTTAATCCCAGCCTTTCTCCATTTTACAAGGATTGGAGCTAGCTAAAAAGGTAGACTCTAATATTGATATCCAGGATCTCAGAGGCTGTTTCTTTAATAACTAAGGGCCAGGCACTTTGCTAGGTCCTGGGATTGTGGTGATAAATAAGATAGCTACTGCCCCTGACACCAAAGAGCTTACAGATTCATGCGGGAGACAGTAAAGAAGCAATTATAATACAGTCTGAGAGTGCTATAATAAGGTAAGTGTAGGTGCTTTGGGAGTACTCAGAAGGTTTCTCACCCAGACCAGTGCGCTTAGAGAAGGCTTTTCAGAGGAAGTAACCTCCTCATCTGAAATTAGATGGAAATGTGAGGGACCAAGTGTGAAGGTCAGAGCTTTGTTTAATTTGAGAAACTGAAGTTTATTGTGATTGAAAAAGTACTCTGTGGACAGGGTGCAGGTAAGTAAGGTGAGAAATGAAGGAGAAAGGGTAAACAGAAGCCAGGACCTTATGGGCTCTTTAGGAGCAGGTGGTGGGTGGGGAGAAAAAGTAGACTAGGTCAGCAAACTTTTTCTGTAAAGGACCAGTACATATTAAGGCTTTGCAGGTCTCTGTCACAACTCTTCAACTCTACTCAACTCTGCTGTTACAGCATGAAAGCAGCCATAGTATAAAAATGAATGAGCATGGGTGTATTCCAGTAAGTTTTATAAAAACAGTGGCAGCTGGATTTGGCCTGTGGACCATAGTTTGCCAGTCTCTGGATCAGACTTTCAGAAGAGGAGTAAGAATCCATGAAAAGGTTTTAAGCAGTGGACTGATAATAGACTTGTGTTTTGGAAAATTTGCTCTGATTTCAGTGTTAAGAATAGATCTAAGGGGACAATACTGGATAAGAGAGATCATTAAGGAGACTTGCAGTTACATGGGCAGTATTTTGACACTTAAAGATTGAGTATAACTGAATCTTTGCATATATGTATATACTTGTTCCCTTTACTAACTTCCAGGTCATCTGCTGGAGCTTAAAGGATGGCTACCAAAGAATTTGTTGATGATACCAGTTCCTATTTCACAGACTAGAAAAGGTGTAGGAAAGGAAAGTTGGTGTCATGATTGAAAAGACTTTGGGAATTCTTTTCTATTTAAAGAAGTGATGAATAAATGGAGCCCCGGTAGGGATCTTGGTCTTAGGGCTCATAGCTTAATGTCAGTTGCTTTGAACTTCTTGAAGTATACACACAGAGGAGGACCCATTTTCCTAAGTTTTCCAGGAATTATCCTCATTATATGTCCTACCCAGCCTCTCCTTGCTTGGGGCAGAATGATGACTTTTTTTTTCCTGGTTTTGGTAACGTCTCTTAGTCAGGCATAGGGACCAAATGAAGTTGAGTGTTTGAATTGTCTTCCTCCTCCTACAAGCCCCAGTGTACTTGCATTGCTGAAGGGAAGCCTGTAGGTTTCTGATAATAGTGTTATGTGACCTTGGTTAAGTGACTTACCTCTATGAATTTAGCTTTCTTACCTGTAAAATGGAGATAATGGAACTTAATAGGGTTGGTTAAAGAATTTAATGAGGTAATGTATGTAAAGCTCGTAGCACAGTGTCTTTAACTTCTGTTACTAATGGTATTTTACACAATTAATAATTTTTAAAAAGGCAGGCAGTAATTGGGTGAGTTGGCTTTTGGCTTAGTATGTTTTGGGTCCTCACAGTTGTAATTGTGGCCATGTGATAGAAGCGGGGACCCTGGCAGAGGCAGTCAGCAGACAGTAGGCAGTTACAACTAAAGCAAGGCACTGCTTTTCATAATGGAAATTTTCAGACAGCAAGAGTTCTGTTTAGAATCCCAGAGCTTTCTTTAGGGTGGACCTTAGTCCCAGTAACATCAGTGAAGAGAATTGAGAGAACAGCTACCCAAAAGAAATTCACTGAAGTGTGACCAGTCATCTCTCCCAGATCCATTGGGGTCATTTGTTGCCACCCTTGTGGCCCTACATCTTTGTAAAGTACCTCTAAAATGTCTTTTATTACTTTTTGCCACCACTCTGGGAAGTGGGTCAGGTGGTCAGCATTATTATTATTTTTCAAATATGTCTTTATTGATTTCAGAGAGAGGAAGGGAAAGGGAGAGAGAAATATCAATGATGAGAGTCATTGATCGGCGCCTCCTGCACCCCCC